TGGCAATCATGGGTGGTATCATTGGCGGGTTCGGTTCAGTGGCCGCAACCATGCCATGAGCACTAGCACTAATTAGCTGCATATCACATCCAACAACAACCAAAAAAATTTTCCCACACATTTTTTCTCTGAAACATGGCTGCGCACATGCCCGCGTTTTGCGTGGTGTACCAGCCTGCCACGTACCGACGATTTCATCCAGGGAAGAGGCCACCATTTTGCAGCACCAGGCCAGAGTACACCCGCAAAGGCTCTGCACGATCGCAAGTCAGAAATTTGCCTGGTGAAAGTACAAGACGTGTTTGTAATTTTCTGAAACCTTTTGTCCGCTGTTCTGCCTTTTCTGCCCGCCCTTGTTCCTCGGCAATCTGAACGCATTCCGTTCTTGTGGCCACACGTTTCAGACAGGGGAACGGCCATAGCCTCCTCTGCTCGTTGTAGGATTTGGCCCTGGTTGCATTCAGGATCCTCTGTTTTGTCTGGACGTTCTTGTTTGTCTTCTTCTATTTATTGCTTTAGGGCCTCGCCACACCAATGTCGAAAAATCAGTTTTCGACAAACAGGCATCGCCGCATCATAGGATGTCGAGGTGCGAGCTGTTGAAACCGCTTTGACAAGTGTCAGAGGAGAGAGGTTTCGGCGGCGCGAGTCAAAACTGCCAGCCTGTGGCGGCCCGAAACTCGACACCTCAACCTTGAGGTGGTGAAGATGGAGTCGGCATTTTCGACATTTGTCAGTGTTGTCCTACTATGCCCAGCAGAATCCGGCCTCTACGTCCCCCTGATTCGAAATGTGACCTGTGTAGCGGAGGGGGGTATTTTGTCAAAAACATCAATGTCAAAACACGCCTGACAAATGTCAAAAATTAACCGGTAAGGGCATTGGTGTGGCGAGGCCCTATTAGGTTTTCTGAGAGCGCATGCACCCATGTGATTGTAGGCAAGAGTTCAGAAAGGATTTGTTCCATTGACATAACTGCCTTTGGGCATTTCCATGTCAAGAGTGAAGACTGCCTAGCTTGGGGTTGAGAAGGGAGGTGGTTCTGGTATGGTTATGTTCATCATGTCTTCAGCTTTGGTTACGTTCATCATGTGCTTTTCAGCTTTGGTTATGTTCATCATGTGTTTTTCACCTTTATTTTTTTCTGCCAAAAAGCCACACAATCTTCCTCTTGTGTTGTTCCGTGTCCCATATTGGATGTACAGACCTGTCAACCATACATCGAGCGAGAAGACATTGGTTCACTAGAAAACAGCTGCAACTTGTCTGCACGCAGCATTCCCACGCATTGCTAGAACTTGGCTAAGCTAGTAATTGTGAAAAGACTTACCAAGCAAGCATAACCGCAGGCACACCCAGTTAAAAAAGTCATTATGTCAGTAACCCCTAAGTGTCTTTGCAAGAGGGAAGGGGGGGGGGGGCAGGTCCGTTTAACTGCCATCAAAACCCGTTAAAACCCGTTAAAACCCCCCAAACCCCCAAACCTCCAAAATCCTGTTGAATTCGCCATTTTTGGTTTAACTCAAGCGGTGCATGGGGGTCCGGACACCTGGCATATGACCCCTGCGCAAGTAAACTGGGAAAACGAAAATCCTCCCCCCCAAAACCTCACTCACCCCGCCCAACACCCCCTCCAACCGCCCCCCAAAACCTCACTCACCCCCGGCGGTCCCCGCCC